ACAGAGGAGACCAGTTTCTCCAGTTTAGAAATAGGAATGCTCTCCCATTCATGTCTAATACAGGCCTCTAACTGTTCAATCGTCTTGGGCCTTCTTTGTCGCACCTTCCTCTTTATGATGCGCCAAATGTTCTCTATAGGTGAAAGATCTGGACTGCAGGCTGGCCATTTCAGTACCCGGATCCTTCTCCTACGTAGCCATGATGTTGTGATTGCTGCAGAATGTGGTCTGGCATTATCGTGTTGAAAAATGCAGGGTCTTCCCTGAAAGAGATGACGTCTAGATGGGAGCATATGTTGTTCTAGAACCTGAACATAGTTCTCTGCATTAATGGTGCCTTTCCAGACATGCAAGCTGCCCATGCCACAAGCGCTCATGCAACCCCATACCATCAGTGATGCAGGCTTCTGAACGGAGCGTTGATAACAACTTGGGCTATCCTTGTCCTCTCTGGTCCGGATGACATGGCGTCCCAGTGTTCCATAAAGAACTTCAAATCGTGACTCATCTGACCACAGAACAGTCTTCCATTTTGCCACACTCCATTTTAAATGACCCCTGGCCCAGTGCAAACGTCTGAGCTTGTGGAGCTTGCTTAGAAATGGCTTCCTCTTTGCACTGTAGAGTTTCAGCTGGCAACGGCGGATGGCACGGTGGATTGTGTTCACTGACAATGCTTTCTGGAAGTATTCCTGAGCCCATTCTGTTATTTCCTTGACAGTGGCATTCCTGTTTGAGGTGCAGTGACGTTTAAGGGCCCGGAGATCACGAGCATCCAGTAGAGTTTTACGGCCTTGACCCTTACGCACAGCGATTGTTCCAGATTCTCTGAATCTTTTGATGATGTTATGCACAGTTGATGATTATAACTTAAAAGTCTGCTATTTTACACTGGGTAACACCATTCTGGTATTGTTGCACTATCTTTCTGTGCAACAATGGTGGAATTGGTGATCCTCTTACCATCTTGGCTTCTGAGAGACACTGACACTCTGAGAAGCTCTTTTTATACCCAATCATGTTGTCAATTGACCTAATTAGTGTTAATTGGTCTTCCAGCTGTTCGTTATATGCTCAATTTCCTTTTTCCAGCCACTTATTGCTACTTGTCCCAACTTTTTTGGGATTTGTTGACACTGTGAAATTTTGAATCAACATATTTTTCCTTTAAAATGTTACATTTACTCAGATTAAACTTTTGATTTGTCATCTATGTTATATTACGAATAAAATATTGACATTTGCCATCTCCACATCATTGCATTCAGTTTTTATTCACAATTTGTTTAGTGTCCCAACTTTTTTGGAAACTGGTTTGTATAATTATTAAAACTTAATTGACGTCTCATTGATTTATTGATAGTATGAGTTGCCACTTCTGAGATAGAACCAGAGGAAGCGGTGGGGGCTGGCTGAGGGTCCAGGGTCAGAGAGGAAGCCCGAGGCCCACAGCTAGCCGTAGCTAGCTGCAGTGACTGACGACCCACAGTCAGCTCCCAAAACGCAACACTAATGAGACTAATCAGTGCTTTAGATCACATTCATACACTGATGGGACACACATCAGAGGCTATGAGGGGTTCAGTGTCTTGCCCAGGGACACTTCAGCATGTGACTGCTGGTGGATTTGAACCCCTCTCGAACTGGAGGATGACTGTTCAAACCACACAGTTACAGCCGCCCCATAATGTACATATGCTGGGGGGTGTGGGTCCTTCCAACTGCACAAAACAAGTCTTCTGGCCAGAAGAGAGCCAAAAGCAATCACATCCTTCTCATACTTGCTGAAGGCCATGTCCACAGAGACCATCCCCAACCGTGAGATAGATGAGTAGTGATGGGTGTATAGTTTTCCTGAGATTGCCAAAAAGTCTGCAGTTTGGGACAGGTCCATAATGTATGCAGGAGTGTAGCTGGAGTTTGTTTACAATGATTACATGCAGGGTTCAAGTCGGCTTTGATCTTGGACAGCTCGTCTTTGGACCAGTGCAGCCTGTGCACCACCTTGAATTGAATTACAACATGTCTCAGACAAACGGAGGATGAGTAAATGTTCTTAATGATCTTTTGCCAGATTTAGTCTGATATGGATTCCTCTAAGTCTGTTTCCCATTTCAGTTTGAGATTTTAAACTGGTCTCATGGTATGAACTGAGCAATATAGATCTTGCTGGGGCCCCCCTTAGTATCAGACTTGCACTCTAAAATCTTAACCACAGAATGTTTAGAGGGGTACAAAGGAAAACACTCAGCGAGTTAGACTTCACAAAATGTCTCGGCTGCAAATATTTGAAAACTGTGACTTGTGGATGTTAAACTTCTGTACCAGCTGCTCAAGAGGCAAAATTATCATCAACATAGTGGTCACACAGTGAATGCACTCCTCTCAAGACCCAGGTGTCAAAAGCTGTATCAGCTACTGAAGGAGTAAACATATGATTATTTGACACAGGTGCCAGA